CGTGTACAGCGACAAGGCACCGCCCGGCAGCAGAGGAGGAAGGTCCCTTAGCGCCATGGCGGGGTGGGATCCGCAGCCCTGGGGCACCCACCAGCCCCAGCTCGCCCACCAACCTCCTCACCACAGATGCTCCCTTTGAGGGGTGTCTTTGGAGGGGGAAGAGGGGACCCAGCCCTCCAACTCAGCCCCCCACAGCCCAGCTCACCTGTGAGAAGCCCCCCAGGATGATGCGGTTGGGTGGGATCCCGTTCTTCATCTCATGCTCGATAATGGCTTTAACTGGAAGAAGACAGAGAAATGGATCAGCGGAAGGGGGGGGTGGTGGTGAAGAGCATCACCCAGCACCCAGGGGTGCCCACAGGACCCTCAGCACATCAGGGAAGAGTGCCAGAGGTCCCAAGGACTGAACGCACTTGGCTTCAGCCAGGGAGAAGGTGGGCTGGGATCACAGGAGAGCAGAAAGGAGGGAGAGGTGGAAGGAAGACATCTGCTCCTGTCCCAGAGAGGCAGAGGCGCTCAGGAGCTCAGTGCTTCCCCCTTCCCAAAGCTGCTTACTGTTTTCTGCAGCTTTCTTGATCCCAGCTTCGTCTTCAGGTGCATCCGGAGTCAACCCCATCAGGTCAAACCTGAGAGAAGAAGAAGAAGGGTCAGCCCCAACCAAACCTCTCCCAGCACTCAGGGTGTGGGGAGGCGGGAGCTGAGTGTGCTCTGCCTTTACACTTACACTGACCCCTACAGGGCAGTGGATTTTGGCTCTTCAGTCCCCCTCCATCCCTCTCACTCCCCAAAATACATCCCCAAAAGGGTCCCTCCCCACCCCTGCCACCCAAAGCACTGACCAGGAGGGCATAACCATTTTCATGTTGAGGGTCACCGGGATCCGGGGCCTGCGGAGGAAGCAGTTCAGGGGTTTTAGTTCAAGCGCAAGAGAAGCAAGTCCGAGCCGAGGGGAGCGGGGTGACCAGCCCTCCCACCCGCAGCTGCAGGACGAGGCTCCCAAGGCACCGTACAGCGGGTCGGCACCACCAGACCCAGCCCGAGGGCTGCAAGGTGACCCCAGGGATCATCCGTGAGCCCTGAGCAGATCCCGGCTGAGCTGGCAGCTCCAGGGCGTTGCCAAGCAGCCCGCCCGGGGAGGAGA